CCCCCCACACTTAAGCACGACATTGTCCTCAATGGAGGAAAGATAAGGAGGGTAGAACGAAGTTACCAGATCAAGGGTGAATGATGATGTACGGGTCAGGCGGTGCATTCCAGAAAGAGAGAGTAATCAGAACACAAACACCACACAAAATCTCACAAAGGTTGAGTTATTGACTCTAAAATCAAATAACAAAACTGACTCAACCGAGGAGAAATAGAGAAAGAGATGCAAACCGACTGGTTAGGTTGCCTCCCAACAAGCGCTTCTTTCACGTCGTGAGCCGGACGATGGCTCCTAAGTTTCGGTCCATGCTAGAACCTCCTTGAAGTTGAGGTTCTCGTCGATGAGGTGGAGTCTCAAGTCACGAGCATGTGGTATGACAGGTGATGGAAGCTCGTGTACTTGATGCAGATGAAGTCTCCACCCTCGAGACCTCTTCTTCTCTTCTCTCGTCTCATTGCCCCAAACCAGATAAGACAGCATCGATTGGCCACCATCGCGTCCACCAAGAGGGACCGATGTCGAGGTGGCCTTGGTCTGGCAAAGAGACACTGCAAATGGGTCCTTGCTAAGCAGTTCCTCGAAGTTTGGTGGAGATATCACATGTAACTCATGGCCGGTGCAAGCCTCTTCCACCTCAACTTCGTCCTCAGCCTGGACGCCAATCGCCTCTTCAACCTCTCTTCCTTCTTCATGTGGTATCACCCCTGGGAAATGATCAAGAACTCCTCCAGCTTCACTTTCGTCATCCTCCACAACTTCTTTCTGCACCCTTTCTTGCTCTTCTTCTTCTAGCACGGATTGGAGAGCAAGTTGCCAAGCAATTTCTTTCATGAGATCTTCTTGCATCTCCTCACTCATGCCCGCCTCTTCAAAGCTCAGTTTGGGATGTGGGAAGGTGTGGTCGGCTACGACATGACAGGCCTGATCATGATCATCACGGGAGCTCTCCGTGACAACTTCAGTGTGTTCCACAATGCCCTTGTAGCCTTCTTCTTCCTCCTCCTCTTCTTGTATGGTAGCAGAAGGGTGATCTGGAGCAGGTTGCGCCCAAGATCGCTCAAGATCATCGACGCTCTTCTTAAGGCTCAGGAGGATCTCATCTGTTTCACGATAGGCCTGGACACACTGATCCATCCTGGAGCATGTTCTCTCACAGTCTCGAGCATACTGCTCCATGAGTAACTCTAGTGCCGATGGCCCTTCTGGTTGTGGGAGAAATTCTTCTTGATAATGAGGTTGTTCTTGATATGCCCAGGGGTCCGGTTGTTCTCCGTAGTAAGGGGGTTGGTACTGGAACCCGAATCCATAGTCTTCTCCGCCTTGATTGCTCCACGGAGTCTCGGGGTAATACCACCCAGATGGTGGTGGATACCCCCAATGATTGGAGAAGCCATTAGGATCCATGATTCAGATCTGCACCAACAAAAACAAAAACACCCAAGTGAAAAGCAAGGGTGGAAAAAAAAAAGAAAAGAAAAATGCTAAAGTAACAAACTTCTGCCTTTCCTAATACTCTAGAAAGTCCCCGGCAACGGCGCCAAAAACTTGACTCGCTACGACACAACTCCTAACAATGGCCAAGTGTAACCAATGGAAGGGACTGCAGTATAGTGGCTCAAGTGATAAATATCGAATCCACGGGTCTCTAGAGTTACTATTACTCAACTTCAGTTTATTATTTAGCAAACCAGATCAAGATAAAAGAACTAAAACTACTCTAGCAAACTACAGTTAAAGTTAATCTAATTACAGGTTGGGAACTCACTTAGGTATGATTCCCCCTAGCCACTAGCCAGATTAACGATTGATGATCTCTAACCTGTTTCACTTTCATTCACAATGCGGAGAATCCTTGACTAGACCTTGAGTCTCGACTAAAGGAACAAGGCCCTCTTGAGTCAATTGCCTAGAGGGACGTATCCTTCTCTAGAACAACTGATCAAGGCGTTCTGAACTAGACTCCCTCTATCGAAAGAGGTTCTCAATCGATACAAAGCAGTGAATCAACCCTCGACTAAAGCAATCGATCCACTACTATCAATCTATGGTGCTCTATTGACCTAATCAGGTATTCCCTCTCATAGAATCAAAGCAGAATCAATAATCTCGACTAAAGCAGAATTGAATCATGAAAACATGCATAGATTGAATATGAACTCAAGATTATCCAGTCAGAGTACTCATACAATCATCCAATCAAACAAACATAGCTAGGGTTCCTCAAAACCTAAGTGAAGGGAAGTTACTCCATAGAGAAGAGAGAGACTGCAGTAAGAATCTTCAGATGATCAGTCTTCAAGTCCGGGCTTGTTCCTCGAGCTTCCAAGGCGAAGAAATCCTCCTTCTCTACTCCAAGAATGCCCTCAAATCGCCCTCTCTCTCTAGGGTTCGTCCCTTGGGTGTTTGGGATCCAAAACCCAGCTCTCCCTCTCCTTTGGCTCGAATTTGGGTTAAAAACAGTCATTCCCGACTTGCACGGCCAGGGTGCACGGCCGTGCACATCACCATTCTGGCCGTGCACCTCAAAACGCGACGTATCAATTAGTTGAACCTCAGCCAACTCGCACGGCCAGAATTGTATGTTGCACGGCCGTGCGGATTTCACTTGTGCCCGTGCGTGCCCACGCACAATCCCGCACGGCCAAACTGGTCACTTGCACGGCCGTGCGTGGCCACCCTGGTCTGCCCGTGCAGCTTGCTCAGCCTCTGTTTAATGCTTCGTTTCTCCCTCGTCCGGACTCCGAATCAGTCGCCGTTTGAACCCAGACGCTCCTAGTCTCGTCCTCTTTCGTTTCATAACAAGCTTGCACGCTTCTTTGTCCATAAAGTGAGGTAGAAATCCATTCTTCTTCAGGTCATGCCCGAGTTTCCTCTCTCGAATCGTCAATTGATCTCTGATTGACTTGAAACTTGCGCCTATGCTTCACTTTATGTGCTAGGAACTGAAATGGGACAAAGGAACACAACCTAGCATAAAATAGGCCACAACACACGAATATGCCCCTCAAACGGATAAGAACTAGGGGCGCAAACATGTGCAATTACATCGTTATCAGTAACCGCATACTATTCTGTTCGACACAGTACATAATGCAGCTGATCCAGGAACTCGGGAGTCCAATTTCCATCAGAGTATCTCGGAGAAAATCTCACCGCATCCGGTCATGGGCTTTCTCCAAATCGATCTTAAGAACCACTCCACCTTTCTTCTCTTTCTTTTTCCTGAGGTGGTGGAGGATTTCCTGCAAAACAATAATATTGTCAGTAGTTTGACGACCAGGGATGAAACTGCTTTGACGGGGTGACACGAGAGTCCTCATGATAGGCTTCAGCTGATTCGTGATTGCCTTAGTGATGTCTTTGAGGCAAACATTGTTGAGAGAGATGGGTCTCAGCTGTGATACCATCTCCGGGTGCTCCACTTTGAGTATCAGAACAACTGTGGATTCAGTCACAACTTGAGGGAGTTAAACTGTGGAGAAAAAATCAACCGCCATTTTAATCAGAGCCTTGCCAACCGTTACCCAAGACTTTTGAAAGAAGAAAGCCTTGTAGCCATCTGGCCCGGGAGCTTGGAAAGTGTTCATCTCATGGATCGCTTGGTGGATGTCTGCTCCTCTAAAGGGACGGAAAAGCTGAAGAAGGTCTTCTTGTCTGATCTGGGGGAGACAGTCTTTAGGCATTAGGTCGACATACTCATGACTGTCCTGGGTGTAAAGGGAAGAGAAAAATTCAAAAACCATATTAGCCATTTCCAAGGGATCCGATGTCCACTCCCCCGAGCTCCTCTTCAGACCTGCAATCTTATTACGTCTACGGTGAATGTTGGCTAGTTGATGAAAGAAAGCGGTATTTCTCTCACCGAACTTAACCCACTTCTCCCTAGACCTTTGGTACCAAAAAAGCTCCTCCTGAGTGAGCATTTGATCAAGCTCAGTCTCAAGTTTTGCTTGGAGTTTAGCTAGTCCTGGCCTGAAGACCAGCCCCATTTGCGTTTGGATACGCGCAATCCTCTTTAACAATCTCTTCTTCTGGAAAATGTGGCAAAAAGTGGACGTGTTCCACTCCTTGAGTTTCGTGGCCAGAGTGTGCAGTGCCTCGGGCAGCAAACTGGAGTCATCCCAGCTCCCAGCAACTAAAGCAGCGTAGGATTCATGCGTAGCCCACGCTGCCTCGAAGCGAAAAGGCCGGGCGGTAGGATGCAGATCCCCTTGGTTACTAACAACAGTGAGCAGGGGGTGACGGTCTGAATGAAAGCGGGGAAGATGCGTGACCATGGTGCTCGGGAAAGTCTGGTTCCACACCCCGTTACACAAGCTTCGATCAATTCGGCTGGCCTTGAAAGAGTGTTGATCATCCCCTCTTGACCAGGTGAATTTCGGACCTGAGAAACCGAGGTCGATGAGGTCCGCCTGGTTGATCCGACTTCTAAAGATGCTGCATCTTCTAATGGTGGCTGATGTACTTTGCCCAGTCTTTTCATTAGGGCTACGGATAGCATTAAATTCACCAGTAAGAATCCAAGGGAGTTCATTGGTAGCACTCGTGTCGATGATACTTTTCCAGAGACTAAGCTGGAACTGGTGTTGGGGCGAAGCATAGACTGCTGTAAGTAGCCACGGTGTCGTCAAAGCATCCGTAACTCTTACTGTAAGATGCTGGAAATAGGCTGATTGAAGCTCGACTTCAAAAGTGTCCTTGTTCCAACATAGCCAGATTCCACCTTTTCTCCCAACCGCTTCCACCCTCATCACATTTGGATACCCCAGCCTCTCGCAGACCCGATCCGCTAAATCCCTACTAATTTGAGGTTCGATAATAATTAGGAAATCCGGCTTATGAATCTGAATCAACAATTTTAACGACCGGTTCTCTTCACACCCTTTGGCTCCACCTACATTCCACGCACAAATTTTGAAGTTAGATAAAGTATTAACCATTGACATAGAAGATCAAAAAGAAGGGAGGTGAGGGAAAATTAAAGGCGGATTTTGAATTCAATGTTCATGTTCTGGCGCGATGGGTGATAGAGCCTCGGTAGCATACTTAGGCTTCGCTATAAACAACCGCTCTTGTGTTGCTGATTCCACACTTGTTTTGACGCTGGCAACGCTCGTCCAAGCTTTAATATCTTGAAGGGTGAGCGTCGTTGTCCTTGCCCTAGCCTTCCTCTTCTTATCTTTCACCGGTGACCAAATTTGGAGGGCTTTCTTAGCTGGGGGCATCGGTGTTCCAGCCTTCTGCTTGGGCGATTTCAAGCCCTTCTGGTGTTTCGTTCTCTTCACGGCGGTCGAAGTGTCGTTTTCAGGATTTTTGCGCTGGGAAGGGGTAGGCTGCTCGACTTCAATCATTTGAATTTCAGTTCCGTTTCGGCTTCTCAGCTCGCAGGCCGGAGGGGGGGCGATAGGTCCTGTTCTTCCTGCTGGGAACAAAGTTTGGGTCTGACTTTTAGGTGGGGAGGTCATAACCGGGCCCTGGTGGATGGGCCCCTTAGAACTGGACGGCCGACCAGGATCGGATCCTCTTGAAAGGATGAGGGCCCAGTAGACTTTTGTCTTCCTCCACAACGATATGAACATCCTCCTTTAAAAGCCCTTTCCCTTTCTGTTTCGCCACTTTGGAGAAATCCTTATATGATATTCCTCCCTTTTTTTCAGGGATCTTCTGACTATGCCCCAATTTTGGAGTGAGCGGGTTTCCTTTTTTGATGTCCAAATCTTTGGAGGAGACGTCGAACTTCCCTCCCTTTCCTGAGGCTGTGTTAACACTGGTTTGGGAGCTTGCCGCATGAATAATGGACTGGTTTACTGAGGCCGCGCCATCACCCTCCAGGTGCTGACCTTGGTGTAGCGACGGGAAGTTATCCGATGTATGTCCCACCTTCCCACATTCAAAACACACCACCGGCATATTCTCATATTCCACGTACTACCAATCTCCATCAAGCCACACTCTAGGAACCAGAGGTTTAGACAAGTCGACCTCCACCGCAATTCTGGCAAACTTTGGCCTTTCTTGATGCAACGTGTGGTAGTCCAGCTTGATTGCCCTTCCAAGCATGTTCCCCAAGGAGAAGAGAATGTCCTTGTGATAAAAGTGAACCGGGAAGGCTAGAAACTGAACCCAAACCACCATTGATTTAGGGATATTTTTCGATAACCGGAACAATGGAGTCCACACTTGGACTACCAAATAGTGAGCAAAGATGGTCCACGACCCTTCAGTTAAAGCTCTGAGATAGTCCATATCACTTCCCAGCTTCACTAGAAAGCAATCCGGGTCGTGCCCCCAAACCTCCATAGGTTGAGAAGGTCTCCACAACGCTCGAATCCTGTTGCTGAACGTCGTATAAGAAACCCCGAGTCCTAGAGCCCGAACAACCAGGGTGTGTTTCTAGGGGATACATAGCTTTGCTTTGAGGTTCTCTGAGACTGTCAATGCTGGTTCTCCTTTATGAGTCCCATTGACAAGATCCTTTTCCCCGACCAGTGTCTAAGTAATCACCTTCTTCGAGACGTCCTGATCCTGTCCGGTGACTGCACCTGCATACGAAAAGAGGGTCGATTAGTTGTGGGTGAAGAAGGCATGGGAGGATATTGAACCACCATTTCTTGCTCCTTGGCTTCCTCCGCCGGTGTGACAGCGGGTTCAGCTGTTGAAACGAGGATCATCGCATTGGCGCAGTCTCTAGAGCCGGAGGGTGGCCCTCCGGTGGTTTTCCGGTGAGGTTCGGATCCATGATCGGCGCTGTTTCGTCAATTTCCATTCAGAGCTTTTTTCACAAAAGGAGAGGTTTTGAATTGAAAGAATGATTGAATGCATATAATATCAATCCTGCTTCTAATAGTATATAACTATATGTGAAGACAAATAATTTTTCTCTAATTAATGTTCTGAAAGGCAATATTTTATATTTACGACAACCACTTTTAATACAATAGTAATTTAATAAAATAAATGAATATTTAAAAAATTTAATTATTATTATAATCATGGGCATAAAATCATTAAATTCATACAAAAAAAACACGAGTACTCATAAGAAAAATACATGAAAACGTCAACTAGAATACAGTTCAAATACACACAATATCTATCCTACTGATCATCGAAGCAAGCTAATCCTCCATCTCCATCATCACCGTTGTTAGGCCACAAGCACATCACCTCTTAGCCACCATCGCCGAGTTAGACAATCACGAGAAAATCCTGGAACTTTACATTAAACACTGCCTTTCTAGTTGTGTGAAAATTGAGGAACTGTGAGTACCTCACCCCCATTGTGCATGACAAATAATAAATTGTAAGAAAGTAAAAGAGTACCAGAAAACAATGATGAATATCCAGGGTGGTTGCAGGCCACATACCACGCCATAAAAGACCAACTTCTGAAGGGTCATGATTTTATCACTTAGCTTGTTGCCCCTTTCCTAAATCTGCATATACTCGATCACCATATCGGCTTATCAGAAACTGCATATAATGGCCACTTAATAGTAATTTAGCAAAAACTCCAATATATATCTCAACTCTTGGAAAATGTTTCTAAATCATTAGCCGAATAAATTTAGAATAACTATTTACCCGTTGATCCACATATTTAATATACATTTTTATGATCTCCAAATGTGTGAGTTAACAAATTTCATAGGTGTTGGTTTTATATACCAAATGCAACACTAAAATCATATTATATAAATGTCCTATATATTGAGTTTAAATTTCAAAGATTTTCCTTTTCTAGAAAGCATGATCTTTTTCGAGATAATTTGATTTTCGCAATAATTGATTTTATATTTGAGCCAAAAGCTTTGTTTAATCAAAATTCTAAAAAATATTTAGAAGATTTAAAATTTGACGATTATAATAACCAAACTATCATCATATATTAATGTTAGCTCTTAACAACTCCCCAACCTTCTTAAACATATATATTCGTTACTAATAAAGTAATATTCCATAATTTATGTGTTTTTAACTGTTATTCTTTTAGATGATTGTTGAACTATAAAATTTGAACTCTTTAGATGATGAATTTTATGCTTTCATATTGGCAATAGGCTAATCCTTTGAAGTTTGTAATTACTATTTTAATGTATAATTGTCTTAGTTCTGTTTGGATTTGATAAAGAAACAAGTTAATAATATTGGTATATAATATGGTAAAGATATATGCACCAATAAATAGTGCAATTTTTTAATATGAAATATATAGAAATTAATAGGATAACCGATCAAGAAAATTACCTATGAACTAATTATTATCAATTGAAAAATTATCAAAGTAGTACAAACATACTTTCTACTCTTTAGTAAACAATTGAGCGTAACCAAAATTATTTGAAAATATGAATGAATTGTGTTAGGGGAGATTAATACATGAGACTAGGCACACTTAACATAGCATCAATGAAAGAGTGAGTCCAGAAAGAATAAAACCCACCATGCTTATTTTGGGTTGGGCAAGGAAAAAAACCCTACTCGGAGGCACATGATGACAAAGTAAGTGTCTGTCCTAATCAATATTGATATTGACAGCCTGGCGCATGTGCCTCTTTGGGGGTGTGTGCGATCAAGAGCATTGGTCGGGGCGCATGCCCGCTTGGGAAATAAGACATTTAATGCTCTGATAAGGTTGTCGGAAGAGCATTTAAGCAAGTTGGATTCTCTCTCTAAAACTTGGAATACCACTTATCTCTCTAGAGCAGATCTTGACTTGATCTCGGAAGGACTAACAGACCTAAAAAGGTCCGCGTGTGCAGGTGAAACAAGGAATCAACATGAAGTTCTAGGATGAAAGCTCTAAGAAGGTGATTATCATAAAATGGTGACAAATAAAATGAATTCATCTAACCAACGGGTCGAGCAAAATCTAGTTATTGATTAGAGTGACATTAGGTTTGAGGAAAGGGAAAGAAAGCTAAACTGCAATATACTTATCGTGTTTGTTTCGTTAATTTATCTATATTCAATCTCTATATGTATTGGCCGTTGACCGGTTGCAGTATGATAACAACAATTAACAAAATTTCAAATTTAAATTTTAGTGATTTCATCTTTTCTTATATTCTTATCATGTTTATATTCCAATGCCATGCAAATTAACAATTAATTATATAATTTTTATCAAATAGCAAGACAGTTTCTTAGTTTTACCATCAATAAAGTTAAGGGTGTGCCTACGGTGACATGCATGTCACGGTGACTTGCACTTTCCGGGACCTCATTTAGAATTCGGTCGACCTCATATAGGATATGGTCGACCTCATATAGGATCAGGTCAACCTAATTTGTTGTTTCAGTGTAAAAATAGTTCATGGTGCCTACTTTGGATATTCATATCATACAATTGGCTAGATGGAAATTGAAGACTAATGACTAGTTTTGAAGCTGGAGTGTCCCTCTACATATTGAAGTGGAAGAGAGCTCGATAGGAAGTCTAGAAGACCATTTTTGAACCTCGTCAAAAGGCTATGCCAAAACTGGGAAACTGCCTAGAAATTGCTAAGTCTGGAAACGTGTTTGTGAAGCCTATTTTGGAGCTCAATTCGAGAAGCATGAATGCGAGTCGAGTCCAGGAGCCTCTACCACGTTAAATTAGGTATGTTTTTATACGAATTCAAGGCATTGGATGAAAGATTGGATATCTGTAAGGCTTCAAATAAAAGGGTCGAAGTTGCTACGAAGGCTGTTTTTCTGGCAGACTTCGAGCACAAGCAAGCTGCCAGAAAAACAGCCTTCGTAGCAACTTCGAGCCTTTTTTTTAAGCCTTAAAGATATTCAATCTTTCATCCAATGCCTTGCCTTTGTATAATAAAATACGTAATTTAACGTGGTAGAGGCCCCTGGACTTGACTCGCATCCATGCTTCTCAAATTGAGCTCCAAAGTAGGATTGACAAACACGTTGCCAGACTTAGCCATTTTCAGGCAGTTTCCCAGTTTAGCATAGCCTTTTGGTCAGGTTCAAAAATGGTCTTCTGGACTTTCTATTGAGCTCCCAAGTACTTTAATGTGTAGAGGGACACTTCAGCTTCAAAACAAGCCTTTAATCTCCAATTTCCATCTAGCCAATTGTAAGATATGAATCTCCAAAGTAGGCACCATGAAACTGTTTTTACACTGAAGCAACAGATTAGGTCGACTTAATCCTATATGAGGTCGGCCGAAAAGTGCATGTCACCGTGACATGCATGTCACCGTAGCAAAGTCCTAAAGTTAAATATTCGATTGCTTAGGAAATAGAAAATTAGCATCCATCATAAGAGATTAGGAACATTGTAATCAATGCCTTATATGCATATTCTTGTTGAAATTAAAAAGATATGAGTTATGCAAGGATACATCAACTC